AGAGTATTATCACTTCTTCACCCACATCCGACCCACACTCACATCCACATCCACACCCTAAGCGTGAAACATGCATTTATCTTCCAATAATAGATTGGTGATTTGCCTATGGAGATATCTGCTTTTTCCTTTACGTTCAACGAACTGCGCATGTCTACTCTCTGTAGTGCGTTTCTCTATCATGACCAAATCTTGTGAAACATTTTTAAATGCGCCTCAGAAATCAACGGCCATGAGCAAGCAACGTATTGCCTTTTTCAGCAACAATGCCTTTATATAATTCATGTTCTGGCACTACCCAGAAACCTTTAAACACGCCTAATCAAGAAACTTGTGTGCGTATAAGTGCATTCTGCTAGTGGTTACATGTATTTTGCAGTATAAAGTTGACAATAATCATCCAACTTCAAGAAATCATGTTTCGCTTTTGGAGCTCACAGATAATTGGTCTCGATTCATTCTCGATTTCTTTACACATGGTTTCCATCCTGCTCCGGTCTCTTGGCACATGATGTCGGTGTCATTCTGGTTAAGACGAGAGCGAGACTGGTATTGGCCCTGATAATCTTTAATGGCGATGGTGTCGTGACGTCTCCGTGACGTTGTTGTAGCGTGACAGACATCTTTGATATAAATAGTGATTTCAATATCAACTTGACTCAATACGCGTTCTATCAGTTCTTTTACTTGTAACCATTCAAGTTTATCCAAACCACAACCAATACGTGGCATCGCCAATTGATTAATATTGTTTTGAATGCATAAATCTCGCATTGAAATCAGACTTAGTTCTAACGTTTTCAATGTTGGTTTGTGAAAATAGCGTTCTTTTGTTACCAAATAAAATACATGATGATGATCGACACAAACAAACACAACCTCCAACCTGAATATCTATACATAAAAAATAAGTCTTATCCTATTTTTTATAATCTCTTTTAAGGAACTAAAAATCTATCGAAAGTGACAATCTGTAATAATTTAACGGCTAAGTGAGAAAGGAAACTATGGCAACAGATCTAAATGAAAGATTTTCTTATTTTCCTCTATTGAAATGTAAAAAAGGAATTATTTATTCTATTGAAAAAGAACGTACTTTGTCCTTTCAGATCATCAATATGTCCAAGTCTGTCACGAAACTGCGTCGCAATTCCTTTTGACATGTTCATATCAGTTGAAACACAATGTGCAAGTGATGTTGTCGATGGCGCAGAAAATAAATTCCCTTGAATTTCTTGAAATTTCAACGTCATCGTGCTATATTAATTTTAACTGACGCTCTCTTATTTGGAATTTCAGTATAGAATTCAATCTTAAATATAGATATATTTATGGTACAATTGAGAAGATGAAATACACTAAAAACAAAATCTAAAACAGTTAAACGCGAACAATAAAAGTTTCTCTATAAATTAGAATAACTCGGAATATAAGCAAACAGAAAATAAAGCATTCGAAAAAGAATTTTGTTTTAATTTCAAACATGTCACTCATATTTATCGGAAGACTGAATGACTGCCTTCCCCTCGTCGGAGCAGTCGTGGATAGTTGAATACCGTAGATATGTGATAATAAAAAGTAAATGTTAAAATCTTACATAGTAAGGTTCCGTTTGACTGAGACGTGGACAACTTGTTAACAACATAAATATCGGTGTGTAAATGCAATAACAATTTCATACAATTATCCAGTCTGTTCGATTGTTCTCTTCGGTCGTTTTCGGAAGTAACGGCATTTCTCGGAGTGACTTTTTAGAGTCAGTACACGGGATAAGGTAGATCATCATTTCTTGTTTATCAAGAATGATTTCTTCTACGTGTGCTCAGAGAGAAACGAAAACACTTTTTTCTCTCTGCTGTTGTCGATGTACAAAGAAACTTTCTCGTTTGCTTTTAAGACATAGCTCATTGACACTTCAAGAGCTTCTATTATTCGATTAACTTTGAAATGGGAAAAAGTAAAGATTTCATGCCGTCAGCATTATTGACTGAATGGGTATTTTTACGGGGAGATATATGAAACAGTCTTACGCACAAGCATTTGTTACTTTTTGTGGAACTCACATATATTTTCGAAGAACATGGTGTACATAAGTTTTAAGTCGAAGATTTTAGAGCTTCCCCTCCTTACACTCTGAGGGATGATCTATAAGGTAAAAAATACGTTTTGCCTAGCGATGGAAGGAGGTAGTTTTTATACGGCAATAAATACGTTTCCATAGCAACTAGTTACACCGAAGTTTGTTTTAGCTTATATGGGATATGTGAGTTCCACATTTTAGCCCCAAAGAACCTGCGCTGACGAGTATTTTTCATATATCATGAGTTCAAAAAGTATATGTTTATACAATAGAAGCACTCGTCCAATTGTAAAGACTATTTGCCTTATCTGAAGAAAGATCTCGTTTCGTGTTTAATGTGGTATAGTTGTAGCAGTGCCCATCCTATTCTGCCTGATACGATTTTTGATCTTTATGTAGATTTAAGTGAGCCTGAAATCCTTAATGCTCGGACTTATGGGAATAGGACCACGGTGTGAGCATAGTATTTCATCTTTAAATCAGATCCCAAATCAGCCAAAAAAAATCCTTTCGGTTGAGATTTTCATCGGTATATTGAGGATATATCAATTGGTCGCAATGTGAATGTAACGAAAGTCTAATGCAGCATTGACTACATGGGAGAGTTTCCACGAACATATACGTGAGATTTGCAATAATTCATACGTATGACTAAAATATGCTAGTCCTTTCTCATTCTATTCCAAAATGTTGTTGATAATCTATTACATTGGCGTCTAAGTTCTGAGCTTTTTTTTCTGGTTCAACAACAACTTTATTTTTCAATAAAGATATGCAACATCAATCAACAATATAATCGCCATTGTTTTCGACAACCTTCGTCTATCTTGCTGGCAATAGTTCAATTCTACGTTTATAAGTTTTACACGTTTTGTTTTGGTGAATAAAAAAGGCGTCATCCTCCTCCATTACAACAGTCGACCTCATATAGCAAAGTTGACTCAGCAAAAAAATCGAACAGTTTGGATGGAAATTTCTTGCACATCCGCCTTGGTCACCGGACCTTGCGCCATCCAACTATCATCTGTTCCAGTCCATTCGTCACCATCGGCACAACAAACACTATGAAGACTCTGATGAGCTAAAGTCTAACCTCATTGCCTTTTTTGAATTACAATCGGCTAGTTTTACAAACGTGGAATTGAACTATTTTCAGCAAGATGGGCTAAGGTTGTCGAAAACAATGGCGATTATACTGTTGATTGATGGTGCATATCTTCATTGAAGAATAAAGTTATTGTTAAACCAGAAAAAAAACGCTCAGAACTTATGCGCCAATGAAGTAGTTTCAGTATGTTGAATGGATGCCGAATAGAGTATAAAATATGCCCTTTCGACTTTGAACATATACTCCGCCAATGGTGATCAATATATGAATTATGAAGAGTAAGAAAAGGTGGCAGATCTGTTTTCCTAAATACTTCGAAAATTAGTATCTATTCTAATTCAGAACTGAAATTTTCTTCAGACTTCGAATCTCAATGAAAGACGTGCAAGTGATGTGATGAAGCACTTCCGAACTATCTATCACTGGACAGTTTGGCCAAAATGTAATTTTTATTCATAATGTGCGATCTATAAATAATAAACATTTTGCGTATTTTTTTTTCTTATAATCGGTCATTTTTTATTGATGACGGAATCAATTGAATGGCACTATTCCTTTATTGTTTATTTAAAAGACGTATAGTAAAAATATCGAGCTGTAATACTACGTTGAATGATGTAGTGTAAATATTTGAGGTGAATGGACGCAGAATATTGGAATTTTATTTAAAAATAAATGTGGAAACCTCGGATTTAAATCCGAGAGTTATGTGTACTTCAAAAAGTAAATGAGACAAATCGGTCATCCTAGAATGTGCGGATATAAAAATTAGCCTGGCAAATCCTTCCTATAAACATTTGAATTCTATTGGCTACTACTCAACCAATAGGATTCCGGAGTGAACACAGCTCAGATTTGGACTCTTCGCCTTGAGTTATCCTAAAAAACTCGTTTTTCCTATAATTTGGTTTCTATTGGTCAGTGCTCAACCAATGGGGCTTCGAGTGAAGTGGATTACAAATTCGAGTTCTTCATCCTAGAAAACCTCGAAGTATTATCTCTGTGATCGGAAGATAGAGCTCGAATTGTGGATCGATTAGAGCGCAGACAAAAACAGAACCGATTTCCGATTGTTTATCTCTGCAGTAGGTGAGCTAGCCTTGTTGTTTCTTTATGTTTTATATACTGTTTTGTAGCTCGTGAAATTCTCTATCGAATGGTATGTAATAGTTGGGGATTTATATGGCTATGATAGGAAAAGTTTTTTACGAAAGCAGAGAAGGGTCTATCTTCTCATAGGGAAAAATGACTATTTTTGCAATAACTCAGCAATGGCTCGGCCAACCATTCTCATCTTCGAACTCGACCGAGATATTGTAAAGACTAAACTGTGTAGAAAATTTCATCGCGATCGGACTCTCCTTTCAAAAGTTATCGTGTTAACGGCCGGCCGGACGGACACACTGACCGATTCTATCGGGTTGTGCATAACCTTTTGCTAGGGGGGTAGCGCTATTATTTCAAGTTGAATACCTAATGAATTTTATATCAAATTAAAGAGCGTCGAAAACTAGATTTATTAGTACTAAATAGTAAGAGTTATCAAAATATATTAATGTCGAACTTACGAAATTTTATGCTTTTTTTAGCATAGAAAATTAAGGCACCAGCAGTTCAAATATAGAGTGAAATATTTTCTTTTGATATTTTTACATGGTTCGATAGTATTCGTCGAGCTTTACAAAACTGTATATATCAGAAGTTTTTTAAGCCATTTTTCTGAGATAAAAAATTTTAAAAATTACTTGTAAAATCCTAAAAAAATCTCTAATAACTCGGTTTTTTTTATATGGAAGAAAAACATTTGATTTTTTCAATGAAATTAGCTTTTTTCATTATCTTTACTGATAAAGACGCTTCGAAATAGACTCATCCGATGCAGCGTGAAAAACTGCGTCTAACAAGTATATCCCGAAGCGTCTTTGTTAGTAAAAATAATGGAAAAAGCTAATTTTATTGAGAAAATCGAGTGTTTTTCTTCCCTATAAAAAATTGTTGGTGCCTTAATTTTCTATGCTAAAAAAAGCATAAAATTTCGTAAGTTCGACATTAATATATTTTGATAACTCTTACTATTTAGTACTAATAAATCCAGTTTTCGACGCTCTTTAATTTGATATAAAATTCATTAGGTATTCAACTTGAAATAATAGCGCTACCCCCCTAGCAAAAGGTTATGCACAACCCGATAGAGTGTGCTCACTTTTTGAGTACACAAAAAGATTTTTATTTTTCGTGAAGTGATATCGTTTTGAGATAGTCTAAAACTGACGGATAAGTCAAATGTTCGCAATCTTCTTTGTTTTTAAGTTTTTGTCGGATTAATGTCGAACTGATATCGTTCGATTTGGTCGTCGATGTGTTTCCGTCTTCTTCATTTTCTGACACATAAAATACGTTGGGATTATTTTGAACTGTTATCATTATAATTAGTTTTTTGTCTTGGCCAGAACGATAAACAACTGCAAGACCGTTCTGTGGTGTTCTTAATGATCGCATACCATTATAACGACTAAATGAATCAAAACCAAATAACATAAATAA